TGCGTTGAATGTACTGATAAGCGTGGGCCCAACAGCTGTCGCGGATCTGATAGACGGGGAGAGGAGGGCCCACCGAGGACAGGCTTTGAGGGGACAGGCCGCCTTCGAAGCAGGTCACGGAATCACCGACCCGCGGTAAGTTTGGGCCCGCTTTGGTCGGTCAGCCCATGGGCCGCCACGTACTGTACGAAGCGAGCGGATTCGAATGCCGCCACGTGGAAAGTACATCAATGCGCGTGCGAGAAGATGAGTTAGTGCCGGGGTTACGCGGCGCAGTACGAGGGGCGGGCCTGCTCGTTATCGGTCCTATTTGAACGCGTTGTGGGCCGCTCATTGTACGTGGGCTATAGATCCTATTTTTGTATGCATGTCTGCGGAGCATCGTAAACTAACGAGCTCCTGTACTAGCACCATTTAGATATATAGCACAAAATTCTAATATTTACACAAATAACTTCCCAATCTTTAATATTACATAAAAGTAGGATTAAATTTGAGCCATTTAATTCATGGCTATAGTCCCATTTTAAAATGATAAATATGAAATATATTTAAATTTAATAGTTTACGAATAAATTTGTTATAAACACATCAAGTTTAAAATGCTAGTAATAATATATTTATATATTTAAATTATTAGTATAAAATATATATTTAATTTGGTTTAATTAATAAATAAAATTGAAGTCATAATGAGCTAGATAAGAAAATAAATGATCGCAATTGAATTGAAGGTTCTAAGTTTAAGTTCAGTGTCACGTTCCAATCGTGATGTACTTTTGGAAAGCTATTTTAAATTTATTTAATGTTTTAAAAACTGGTTTTTTTTTTCTACTGATTTGTCATTTGATGTGATATCCTGCCATTTGCAATCTTGTCAGTGCAAAAGCTCTTGAATCATGAAGCCACAATCTGTTCAGCAATATTTACGTTTCGTTTTCTATGCTATTGAGGATAAGAATTCTCTCTTACGGAGTTTGAATTGAGAAATAAGTCCCTCATCTGTTTTAATTAAAAGTAGTGGTAAAATATTATTAAGAATTTCAAGAAAATAATGAGAATGGAGTACGATGAGATAGAATTGAAGAACAAGTGAGATCAGTTGAAAAATTGTTGGAAATTATGGAAGGAATTAAAATGAGGATCCACGGGTTTGGATTGGGATTCAATTAAACACACTATTGATGTTTCAGATGAATGGTAGGTTGAGAAAGTTGGGGGAAGAATATATTGACCTAACCTTCTTTTCATTAATTTCTCTTTCTGAACTGTATGAATATATTCACTTCCCCTTGTATTGCAGACAGTGCCAGCGGCAAAAAAATTCAAACTCAGAGGAATTGAACCTGAACTAGAAGAAAATTTGGACCGTATGTTTGGTGGGGTTGCGGCAACATGGACCAATGTCTGAAACCCTAGTGAGCAATAGTTTGCAGGCATACTTGAGAATTTGGATGTCGAGCAAGCAACTGGCTCTGGTGAAGGCTCAAGCCCAAACCAAAATGAAGTGGAGTCCACATGCAGGTCAAAAAGTCCAGTGGTACAGAAAAAGAAAAAAGAAAGAGCTGCTTTTATTAGAAGCCAAATAACAAAATTGGTGGTTTCATGCACCAATGACCTTGGGACTTGACAAACGATCTTCATCGACAATGTTATCCGAGTTCTGAAGGCAACTTTAGAAGTTTATGAGGACATGTCTTTTTATTTGAACTCTATGAAGTTGCTGGCGGACCCGACTCGTATACTGTTCTCACGAAGATGACCCCTCACCAAAGGGTTAATTATTTACATCTTTTTTACGACAACACATACCATTGATTTTATTTAGTTTTCTTTACACTACTTGTATTTTTTTTCCAGTAGGTTTATCGAATTTCTGATTTTGATGTTCAACTATTGAACATATTATTAGATATTTTTTAAGTTCATTACTAATTAATTTATTTGCGACAGACAAATATTACTTGGTCGATGCTGGAAATCTCTTACTCCCGACTTTGAAAGATCCAATAATGTTGCTCGGGGAATGAAAAAAAATGTTTAACAAGAGACACTTGTCCTTACGCCGTGTAATTGAAAAAAAAATATAGAGTGTGGAAGAAAAATTAGGTCATATTGTGTGATATGCCGACATATCCATTTTCAAAGCAGGTACAGATTAAAGTTGTCACAATGACTCTCCACAACTATATTTGATGGAATCATTTACAAATAGATGTAAACTTCAGCATGACTGATGATGATCATTTACACGTCCCACCTGAAGAATTCAAATATCACATAATACAATCTATACCGAAAGTAGAAGGAGATTCGCAAAAAGATTGCACTCAGGATGACGAATGTGCTGGAGAAATGATTGAATTGAGAGAGCGGATTACAGACGCCATTGTTGGATGTTGAATGGACTGATTCTTGTTTATTTCATATAGTACATGTTTATTTTTGTTCTTTGTATATTTGATGTTGATTGTTTGGGTTTTTTACGTTGTTTGTAAGTGTTTTTATTTTCTTTTTCCTTTTCTTTTATTTTTCTTTTGGTGGGTTTGAGAGGTACATGATGAGACTTTATATCTTATGGGTTATTCTGGATGGTTTGGTTGTCGAGTTGGTGTTCCTCTCATTGATTTCAACTTTACGGTTTCTGAGGTTCTCCTAGCTAGCCTTTTTTGGTGATATGCATATGTGATACACATGAGCTTGGTATTATGTGGGACAAAGAACCATTTTTTGATAGGGTATGTTGTCTTCTAGTAGTGATAAATTCGTTGGTTGATATACTAAGTTCTTTGAGAACTCATACCTACTTAATTAATCATTTCTGAAGAAAATTTATACATGTGTTATGACTAATGGATTGTATTTTAAAGCATTTAAGAAAGATGAATTCAAGGATTTCTAGTACCTCTAAAGAATTGATGTGACATTGTGGACTTCGGAGTTTTCTACTAACGTCACGTCAACCATATAGCTACATGAGACATTTCTACAGGTGCCTGCGGAGAAGCATGGAGAAGTGTGACTTCTTCCGGTGGGCAGACAAGTTGGAAGATTTCACCACTGAGAGTGATCGAGAATGGATGGCATCCATGGAGGACGGTCTGACTCGTGACATACGCCGTCTCTATTTTAAAAATAATATTCTCATAGTATTAAATGTTAATTTTAATAGTCTTTTTCTTAATTCTAGTAATAATGATACTGTTAAATGAGGTGTATCTCTTATTTTTTGCACTATTCTAAAGTGAATTTTTTCTTCTAAAATATATTGTTATGAGAGTTATGTTGCAAACATCATTACTCCATATAGGCAAAATGATCATTTGTCCAGAAACAACTGTGTTGCAGCTGTTTTCAAATAGGAATAAACAAATAACCAACCAGCTTATTCGTAGCAGTTTCTACGCAACATCTTTCTGGAGCAGCTACCGCGCAACAGCTTATTAATAAGCTGCGGCTGCCCCCAAAGAAAAAATTTAAGTAAGAGATTGTTATAAGTTTATTTTTTTGTCAAAATTTAATTTGAGCTCAAGGATAAATTTGACTTAAGTATTTGCATTGTATATCTCTTAGAAGGTTTGTTGAGTTACCTTTGGTGGCTTATTAGGTTAGCAACTATTTGATTCGAATTTGTTCAGTTGATGGATTGACTAGTAGAAGCTATTGAGTAAAAGCTGTCAAATAGGAATTGATGAATAAAAGTTGTTGAGCACCAACTACTGTGTTGAGGAGTTATCGAGTACGAATTGAAGAGTTGGTGGATTGCTGAGCACCGGCTTTTGAGTATGAGTTCTTGAGTTGATGAATAAGAGCTATCAAGTACATTAAGAGTCTTCAAGATATCTCTCTATGAGAATTGATGAATAAGAGCTATCAAGTACATTAAGAGTCTTCAAGATATCTCTATGAGAATTATCTTCCTTTTATGAATGATTTCTTATTTATATTAAACCTAAACTGATTTTTTAATTAAATTATAAAAAAATATTTTAACAAATGTAAACAAGTAATCAATCTATTATAAAAAGAAGACACATATTAAATAAATTCATAATTAATTTTTACATAGACATACTGCAAAGTATTAATTGAGCTTCTTAATAAGTCTCTTAACACTCCTTGAATGATATTGCTTATGATCATAAATCAATCAAACACTATAATAGTAGCAATTTAGTATTTATAAGTGTTAAACCTTTGTCAATTTGTTAATTAAAACATCATTAACATGCTTCAATATGGCTAAGTTATGAGAAACTTGTTGAGTGCATTTTTCACTTGTAGCCCTACTTAGTTTATTTTTTGTTCTTTTTTAATTGAAATATTTGTTGCTTATAACTAAAAGATTTTCATTCTTCTAAATCATTTAAATGTCATGGAAGTGTTGCATAATGAAATATTTCTAATGGTAGAGCTGAAAATCGACATTTTATCATCTAATTATTGAATGAAAATCTCACACATGTGAATGATAATGACCATGTTTAGAACTAAACAAAGAAGAATAATAATAATTTAAGTTAATATTATAATTAAATGCATAAAATAAATATTTAAGAAATAATTAATAAAGAATCACTTTATATATAAAATATTAAATATCAATTTTTAAAATTTTTTAGTAGTTTAAAAACAAATTCTTGAATTATAATATATTTCAACTATATTTTTTATTAATTATTTTTTAAAAGAACCAGCTCACAAACTAACGAGTCGAGACAAACAAACTCGAGCTTGGTTTGTTAACTCAATGAGTTCAACTCACGAGGTACTTATCAAGTCAAGCCCTCCTGAGTCAACATGGCTTCACTTGCATCCTTACACTTCATTAGCATAAAATTCTATTACCATACATGGCCATTCAATATTAAGTAAATTGCAACAAATTTCCTTCAATCTTAAATACAATATTTTCACAACTCCTTAGCAAACTAAAACCAATAACATTTTATCCCCTTATTTCAAGTTCTCTAAAAATAAAAACCAATAAAAATTCCCAAACATATTATTATACAACATCACAAAATAAGGAACCATAAAAAAAATAAAATTTTAATATTTTCAACCAATGTGCTACAAATTCGAGCACATCCCTCCTCGAATATTTATAATTAAATTTAAGGAGACGACGAACAAAATAGAGCTCAAAATAGAGCGAACTTTCATTATTTCTATGGCTATCTTCAGCTCGGCTGAAAACTCAATAATCTGAACATCCAGTAAAAAAATTTTCTACTTTACCTGTCCAAGCAGAAAATATGAACAAAGCATTAGAGAAGATGAGCTTAGGATTAACAGTTATACTATTGAAGCTTTTCTGTGTCAATCAAAACATCCCAATAACTGTAAGAAAAACAAAAATTACAGTTTTTATACATTCTCCTCACTTCACCTAAACTTTACATAACATATTCAGATTTCAGATGGTCAAAACATATTCATTTAATAGGATATTGGTAACTAATTAATGAATCTGCAAACTGGACATATAGGTCCCTCTGTCTATTCTTCGGAGCTCAAATCTAATCACCTTGAAGGGTTAAAAAGGAATATATTTATGCATTCATGTATCTAACACCTAAACTCCAATTTTTACATAGATGCTGCCTTATCTTTCACCTTTTAAAAGTTAAAATGAGGATCTTTTTTATGTATGAAACATTTCGGTGGTATAAACGAGAAGAATAAAGATTAGGTGGTATGTAAATACATAGGAATTGAGTGGTATGTCCGTAAATACCACCCATAAAAAAAAAATAATCACAACAATAAAACAATCATTCGTGCCAAATCTCAAGTTTTTTCTCTGGATCAAGCTCATGCCCTTTTAAATCCACCCTCATTTGTCTAACATTATCTCTCATTGTTTGAAAACTTAACATGTACCATGCAGCTTCGTCGTCATATCATCATCATTAAGCTAATAATTTCAAATATATAGGGCATTTCAGGTTGGTATTATGAACTCCTATTTTTCACTAATTTATGAGTATCGTCTCATTGTTGAATATAATTTTCACAAATCATTTTGAGCAACTTCTAATCATTTTATTACTAATCGTTTACCACTAATTTAATAAACTTATCTAAAATGCACATTTTCTATCTGTTATTGTGCGTGTCCAAACCATCTAATCTTATCTATTTTTACTTATCTCTTTGTTTATTATTTATTATTTATTTATTTTTTTTATGAAAAGGGAACGGCCAAAGGCTATTATACGAGCCTCTAGCCATCCCTAATGTGTCTAACAATTCGAGTACCGCTCCTTAAGGCCAACTGTACCAGAGGAGACTCAAACCCCCGACCTGAGGGGTCTTATACCATGAATGCCAACCAATAGGCCGGGATACGCGACACAATTAGTTTATTTTCACTAGGTATCACTCCAATTTTATCCTCTATATAAATACTCCTTGATTTATATTTCCTAATTTTGACAATCATACAAAAAGTATCATTTTTATCACACTCAACTTAGATATCAATGTTTATTGTTTATAGCTTAATTTTAGTATCCAAGGCCAACTTCATAACTAAGGTAAAGATGAATGGTACCAAGATCATTTCATATGTTTCTATGAACTGCCTTATTTGGGTTATAGATGAAAGCACATTTTGGCTGTTATCTCTAAATTGTACATCACAAAGAGAATAAAGGATAACCTGGATGCTTAATTTTAATGCCTCATATCCTTATCTATAATAAATAAAGTTATAATAATTCAAATTAATTAAAATCCAAATATTATAAGTCCTAAAAATTTAATAATGAGTGATTATCTTCATAATTCCTCTACTGATGATTTTTTGGTCTCCAAACCATGTTAACATTCAAATGAATCAAATTATCATTCTGATTAGATTCAACTTAGCTCCATCTGCATAAAATTGATTGGTTCCCATATTTTCAATTTACAAATTAAACTTGATTTATATCCTCATATGATTTTACTTATTAAACAATTTTACCAGTTGATGATCTGTAAATTGACCTTAATATTGCACATGAGTTTCACTTCTAATTGATAATTTGGCAAAGTCTTAAGTTCGAAAACCAATATTAAATCATAATGCAGCTAAATGAAGCAAGGAATAAAAGTCAAAGAAATCAATTTAGAATTCAGAGCAATAAGGGTTCACCAATTAAAACAAACACTTTTCTTCTTTCATGTAAAAATATGATGATCCATTTAAAAATAATTCAAGGATCAACAAATTCAAACTGAATTTAGAGAAGAGAGAGGATCAAACCCACCATAAAAAAGCCACAAAGATGAACAAAATAAACATTCTTCTCCAAACTCGTTTAATCTCGTCACAAACCTCAAATCCTTTGTCACACAAAAGAAAGAATAAAATTAAAGAGATAAAAAAGGTAAGATCTAACAATAATAACTAAATAACCCATTTCTTTCCTCTGGAATAGAACAGTCCAGCCAGATCAGGTACAGCCGGGTTTCATCCCCACCTCACAGGCTCTTAAACCCCTCTAATTGGAACCTTAATGCAAGGGGACCGAGCACAAGAAAGAGAGAAAGAAGCAACTGTGAGCGAGTTTGCGAAAAGCAATTGTTGAAACCAAAGCAAGAATTGATGTCAACTCTAAGGACAAACAATGTCAGGACAAAAATAAGTAAGAGCTGGTTCAGTGGCTTCAACAGCTTTGACAACTTGATTAAGAGGATGTTGAGGGAAGGGAGGAAGGAAGAGAAAGGGGAAGGAAGTTTTAAATTTCTCCCTCTTCTTCCTCTCCTTACAGTATCATCATCTTCATCTCCAAGTGCTTAAGAAGGTGAACCTTAACTCTATTTCCTCAAATTGCTATTACGGTTTCAATAAATTATTGTATTGAATTATAAACTCTAGATTAATTTAATCATGTTATCATTGTTTATGAGGCTAAAAATGTGGGCTTAGAGTACATATTACTGTTTCTATGACTAATTCATGTATGCATGAAGATTAATGGAGTAGAAAATAAAACTATCAATTCATAATTTATAGTTTATTGAGGGTAATTCTTAATCTAACTTAGCATATAAAAAGAGATTGAGAATATGAAAACGATCATGAATATACATTTAGATTAATTTTGTTATAACATGTAATTAACAATAGTTTATGCGTGTGTAACAGGATCCACTTTGTTCTTCGTGTACTGCTTTGAATGCATGATTGATGTGTATTGTTTTAAATCTAGGATTGGTGAAGCACGTATGTTGGAGCAAGGAATACTAGCATCATGATTGATATGTTGGATTGCTAGTCGTCTTCATTAGGTAGATGACTCCGTACTAAATAAGGCATAAACGAATTATTCCTTGTTATACGTCGATCATTTGTTACTTCTTGATATGCTTTGGTTGATGATAATATATTATGAAATATGCTAATTTATTTATAGTATTTCATATGATCATATTAATATGATGTGATACGTATCTTTACCATTTCACTTGTTCACAAATACTAGAGAAATTTTTGTACTGTCGTGACTGCCAAAATTACTTACGGCTTCTGCGAATTATGTATTAATGATGATTAAGTCTTCATTATATGACCTTTAATTTAGTATGAAATTATATAATATGTGAATGTATGTATGTGCATATATTTATACTTGCTAGCCGGACCGACAGATCCACAAAATGATGAGTATTGAGAAATCAATGAATTTCTACATGATTGGGGCCTATTGTATCTGATTTCATTGAGTTATACAGACATGTATGATACGAATATGATGAAATGAATAATATCATTTATATATGTAAAAATACATCATGCTTGTAAGTAAATCTCACATTTGAACAAAATGATCTTTAGTTTACATAAATAATTTTTTATGAACTTTGTTGTATAATAAGCACTATAAATGATATAAAAATTTAAAAATCCTATCTTTTATATATTATGTACTTTTTATAGCATAATATTTACTTTCACTTATGTTCATTTTTTTATCATATCTTGCCGCCACATCTTATCATTTATATTTTATTTTGTATGGTTTCACTTATGCTTGTTGTTTTATGATTTTCTGGTTATTAGTTATACATCATCTAGAGCAGGCGTTCGAGGCTTATACTTCAAGTATGCTTGGAAGGTGATTAAGAATAGATTACTAGTTACATTAATAGATAAATTGTTCCTTGGATGAATTACAAACTAATTAAGTTTTAATTGCTTTCGTGAATAATTTATAGGTGTTATTGAATTTAAATGCTCCGATGATCTTATTAACAAACTAAAAATAATTAAAATAATTCTTATATTATTTTAATTTATTTCTTAACTTTTTAGCTTGCACCCTCCTGCTTTCTTTCAACCCAGTGGGCAAGTTGCGACAATAGTTGTAAAAATCGTGCACATACACCCCTTTATGCTCACACTCACTCTTTATTTATCTCAAAACCAAAACCCCACAAATAATGACATGCACACTGAAGCCATATGTCAGACATCTGCATTCTCCTATTTATACGATTTAAAGGAAATGAAATAAAAATCAAAATCAGGTTTAAATTTTGGATCTTTATGATGCCCAAAACCAACGCTTAAGAAAGATTTCTAAAATACATTTGTCACATACCAAGATGGATTCATTGACAAAAAAATCCACAATTAATTCTAATACCCCAGAAGCATCTATCTCCTCTCTTTGATGGTGCAACCTGACACTAAGATAGATTATACAAAATAAGATTAATCAACCTAATCATCTCTAATAGTCACCACCTCAACATGTGTCATCCTTTATTCCATAAATTGATTTGCAACTAAGAAGCTAAATTTATTAGTGGCTGTTGACCTCATTTTTAGTGAGGTCTTAGTCTCCTACTCTTAGAACCTAGGATCTAGCTTTAGGAGTTCTTATTGACCATCCTAGTGGACTAGCGATGGAGCCCACCTTCCGTAGAATTTCAAGCCACTTCTTGACTCATTTTTGTGAAGAACTCGCATGAGTGGTTCCAAGCACTCAACTTTTAGTTGCAAGGGCTAAGGACCAACATGTAGAGGGCCCGAAATTGAGTTCCTATAGGATCAACAGCCTTAGGTGAACCCTTTGTGACTCGATTACTCGCGAACGCCGCTTTTCATGCACTCACTGCACCACACACGATTTTGGCTTAAATTGACTCGCCCGTCGGC